AGAACTTGAGAACTCTTAAGCGACTTATAAGCATTGGTGAACTTGTAAAAATTCCATCTTAAAGTAAATGAGGGTTTACTTTCTAAAAGGAACACGTGAGAACCATTGTATGTTGCAAATATGGATCTAAGTACTGTGATTTTGATTATAACAATTATTATTATTTCTTCACTACTACTATGATTACATATCTATTTTGTTTACCCTACTTACTAACCTTTCAGGTCCACATGATCACTTGCAATGCAAATCAGCTCAAGATCGGATGGACTAGGATTGAGTCTGTTTGCAACTTCAATTTCAATGTACTTTTTACTTTTCTTAAGTCTAGTCATGTATCTAGTGGACTGCAAGCTAAATAATCTTGCACACACACACTCATGGGGAGAAATTTGGTGAGTTAGAGAATTTTCTGTTTTTGACTTAATCGTATATGACGATTTCAAATCGTACTAGATGACCAGTTAAAAATACAAATCATGATTAGGGCATCCATACTAATAATAAGTGATTAAAGTGGTCGTCCTGGACGATCCCTGATGATCAGTTAAAAATAAAAACCCTGATTAGGACATCCATGATAATAATAAGCGATTAAACTAATTGTACTGGACGATCCCTATGGTCCAACACGAATAGTTTAGATGATGAAAAATAGCCGCCAATCACAATTTAGATAATATTTTGATTTTCAAAATTTGTACTAATCGTACAGGATGATGCACACCGTCTTGGAATATTCCAGACAATCATGCCTAAATTAATCTCGTGATTATGAGAATAATTATGATAAAACATAATTTGATGTGATCATACAGGACGATCGGTGATGATCATACTGGATGATAGAGAATATGTATGGTACGATAAATAATCACCACCTATCGTAGCAGATGAATACCATAATTTTTTAACTAATCGTCCAGGACGATAAACTTATATCATACTTGACGATAGAGAAGTGCATGGATCGTCGGGCATCATACTAGATGAAGTTTAACAGTTTTGTACTATGTATGTAGGAAATGATTTTTGGTTGGGGGGCAACCTTTTGTTACAACCTTGAAAGATAATTCATGTTAATGGGTCATCCCTTTATTATGACATTCTATCATGTTCAAATGAAGCCATTTAATATTGAGTGCAACCTCACAGCAATAACAAACATGCATTTCTTTCTATGTGATTAATTATCAGCCATAGCAACATCACAATAGATGAATTAAATTTGAAATTGGGGGGTAATTTTGGTTGCAACATTAAAGGAAATTGTGGCAAAAAAAAAAAAAATCCAATACATTCAATATCCAAGATAATATCTTGGGAAACTATTTTTCGTAAAGCTTCCAACAAATGCAATGATACTTCTAATAAATTTTAAGCTATATAAAGTCCCTAACTAGACTTCTACTCCTTGGACAACGTTTTAACTTTGACCTCAAAAAGTCATTAATGTTTTAATGAAAGAACAATCTTCATCTTTGATTCAGGATACATGATTCATTCACCCCCTCCCAATAAAAGTAAAATGTATCCACAGGGGATTCAATTCATCCTCTTCAACACATGTTAGCATCATTTAGCAAAATTATAATAAATAACCTCGGATATTTCAAATATTTTTGGTGGATTCTCCTAGCCTCTTCCATATAAGTTAATATTATCAAGTAATGCTTTATAAAAATAACATTGGATAGGTTGAACATCTTTTGTGGATTTCTCTCAACCTCTTTTACACATGTTAACATCATCGAGCAATGCTCTGATAAATAGTCACATGAGAGATTGCCTATAAGGTAGCCCTGAAGGAAAGTTAGTAATGAACAAGATCTTCACTAAAAAGACCGTATAAGAGCAAGTGATAGATAATGTCTTCACTCATAATTCCAGGAAGGCTTTCCTATAAGGTAGCCTCAAAAGGAAGCTAGTAGTGGACAATATCCTCATTAGAAAGACCCCATAAGGGTAGGTGACATACAAGGTCTCCACTGATAATCTGAGGAAGGTATACATATGAGGTAGCCTTGAAGCGAAGTTAGTTGTAGACAAGGTCCTCACTAAAAAGACTCCCTGAGAGCAAATGGTTGATAAGTCACCACATATTTAAAGATCTTAGAAGGCTAAAAACCTCAAAAGATATAAGTACACCAAAGATCTTAGAAGGATAAAATCCTTGAATGGCACATGTATGCCAAAGATATTAAAAGGATAAAAAATTCAGAAGGTACATGTACATAAAAATCTTAAAAAGGCTAAAAGTCTCAAAAGATATATTTTTCTTTAATAATTTAAAAACTTCAGAAGGCAAAAAGTTGTTAAAGGGATAACTTTCCCCCATCAAAATGGATGCCTACTACTTTCAATATAATATAATTTGACCACTGCCATCATTGACACCTTGCTCGGCTACTATTAGGAGCATACCCTCCAATTATCACCATCATCTTAAATATCACCTAACCATCTATGTTAGGCTTTCATAGACATATTATTTAACTCCCTTTATCAAAGGATAAATTTAAGATCACCGGATCTCTTCCCAATAATCAACCATCACATAATTTCTACATATTCGCTAACAGTCACCAATTCTCCTCTTGGGTGTTAGTACTGTTAGAGGGGCACTAGAGATTGATAGGGGATGTCACATATCCAAGACATTAGAATGCCACTAATATAAAAAGAAATGCATAAAACAATGAGAAGAAATGTAAGGGCTACTTCTTCTAAACAAAGAGGGAAACTAGAGCTTAATAGGGGATGTCGCCTATCAAAGATAGTGGAGTGCCTCTAATGTAAGAAGAAATGCATGAAAGAATGAGAAGAAAAGATAAGATCTATTCCTACATAAAGAGGGGCACTGAATTTTGATAGAGGATGCCACTTATACAAGACAGCATAATGCCTTCAATATAAGAAAAAGGAAGAAGAAGAAGAGTTCTGCTCTTCTCATATCCCTACTGAGGTAATTATATATGAAAAGGGAGAAGCGTTGTGAAACCCCTTATGTAAAAGAAGCTAAACTCTTAGCTATTGAGATATTGTCTGTTTTGGCCTAAATGTCTCATGGTTTTTATTATTGGTGTGTAACTTCCTAGTATGTCACAAATCTCAAAATTGCTATAGGATGAGCACGCTTAATTATGAAGTTTCTTACATAAATTTTAGTCATTACACAAAAATGCATCTTGATTTATGCGTGTCATCTTTACTTAGGGGCCATGCTAATCTTCTCTATATCATTCTGAATTTATCAAGACATTCAATAAAATTAACATTACAAATTCCAAAAAAAAAAAGTAAAATTTTTAGTGATGAGTATTACATATAAACATTTCATATTATTTTATTAATATTACAAAAAATTCATATAATTTACAAGTCTAACTGGATTGTTACATCCAGGAATATTCGCGGCAGTAGAGAAATATATAGTTTAACGTCTTAGCAAAACTAAGTTTTTAAACCAAATCAAGCAGATAAGAGAGAGGGTGTAACATTTATGAGATACCAAGATTTTTACATGAAAAACTCCTGAAAAGGGGGAAAACCATAGGGCCTAGCCCAGTTTGAATGAATCCACTAGTATATCAGTTGATTACAAATGAGGCCCTTCATGGGGGAAGGCCTTAGCTTGATGTACATCTTATAGAGTACATTACATAATGTGAATACAAAGAATCACTGTTGACATGTTCGTTTGGTCGGGAGGACCGCTCGTCGGTGGACAATGTAAGTCGGAAGAACCGTAGTCGGCGGGCAATGGAGGCCGTAAGGACTGTAGTCGGTGGGCAACATAAGTCAGAAGGACCGTAGTCAGCTGGCGACGGTGGTCAGAAGGACTGTTGTTTGACGACGAAGGTCAGAAGGAAGGCGTTAGGTAGAAATATAGTGACGAGCGGAGGTCTGGTGTCGAATAAAATTTCGATGTCACTTGGACGTCGAGCAGAATTCCGATGTCACTTGGGGATCGGACAGAATTACGGCGTCACTTGGGCAGAATTCTAGCATCACTTGGGCAGAATTCTGGCATCACTTGGGCAAAGTTTCAGCTCCGGACGGAGCTCTAACGTTACTTGGGCAAAATTTTGACGCCTCGTGGAAGACGGGCAGAATTCTGACTTCCCGTGAAAGTCAAGCGAAATTCCGGTGGTGGTTGAGGAGGAGTTTCTTCCCTCATAATATTCTCTTATTCCTTCTCTTCTTCTCTTCTTGCTTGGGTCCCCTCTCAAGAGAAATGAAAGGCTATTTATAGTTTTTTGAAGATGGCATGCCCGTAAATAGGAGGAGGATCAAGGGCAAATGTGGAGTGGTTCGGATGGATGATCGATATTGAATCCCTTGATTGTGGACCGTTTGTCAGACATTTTAAGGTCTTAATGATATCGGAATTCAGCGATCTTGAGCTCGTTGGATTCGTCTCGTCGAGCCGCTCGATTTGATTATAAGCATGTCATGTTTGAAAACCGTTTGGTAATCCAAATTGTGGTTTGAACCATCCAACAACGCTTCGGGTCTTCAATTCGGACTCATTTGGGCTCAAATTTGAGTTGAATTTGGTGTCGTTGGGTTCGTATTTCTGAGACAATCAGTTTAACTGTAAGTTTGCTGAAATCAGAGTTCAGATGATCCTGGATTTAATTTTTGAAGTTTCCAGCTTGATTTTGCCTTGAGATTCGTGCCCGATCAAGATAATTTTTTGATAAGATATCAAGGATGTAATCACATACGCTTTATCAAAAATAAGAGCTTAAAAGAATTGTTAAAAAATGAAATTATATCATCATTATAAATTACATAACAAATAATATATGTAAAGTCCACAAAATTATTCACTCAACATAGATAATCCAACTGAAAAATAATTAATCAAACTAACTACTAATACTAACTTGAAGTGACTTAAACTCCTTGCTTTATTCTGGCTCTTCATTGAATGTTTTAAAGGGTTTATATAAGCTCCAAATGCCCAATGATTGTTGCATGGCCCCGGTTTCACTCATGCGCTCCTGTGAAACTGCTCCCATGATTTTCACATCAAATTTGCGGATATGGTCAGGATGAATGAGCCAAAGGATCCGACATATTCTATATAGAATGCGCCAAAGGATCCGACACATTCTATAGAATATGCCAAAACATCCGGCGCATTCTATAATGCGCCATTAATTCTTTCGCATTCCGTGCATACTCTAGTCTATTTGATATTTTCTGACTATGCTACACATTTTGACGAATTGGCTCCAACTTAAAGTTTTATCAGATTGTGCTTCTCTCGCTAAATGTAGCTGCTAACATGCTCCATCTTAAAAATTCGCCAAAAAAATAGGATGCTTATGATATTTTAGTAAATAAAAATTAAACATCTTTTTAAAATATGATTTGAAGGTATTTCATTAAATATAAATTTAAAACATTCTAAAAATATAGGACGGTTCTTATTTTCGGCCTATTTGAGGTTGCGTTTAAGCCGAGCAATAATTGCAACGAGAAAAGACCTGCGTTCTCCATATCTGGACTAATATAATTATCCTACTCCTACCTACCATTATTACCATATTATTATCAGCTTATATCGTTTTCTTTCATAACAATTTAACATTAATTATGTACTCATCTTTATCTTATTCATTTCAATTTTAT